GTACCTGGCCCCGCCTACTATCCTCGGAAACGTAAAATGATTGGCTAGAATCTAAAGTGTATCACAGCTCAGGGGGAAAAAAAAGCACCGAAATGTGCGCTGCTTTTCGGTCTGGTTACTACAGTTTATGACAGGTACCGTTGGTACCCATCCCTAGCTGTAATGCTCCAACAATCCATCAAGCGGTGCAGCTTCATAACTTAGCAAAGTCATACTAAAACATTTTTTGACAGATTTTTGAGCGCCGTGTACCACATAAAATCAGTTTGGTAATAACAATGGCCCGCTTGCATGCGCTACCAAAAAATGTGCTTTGGTGTGTATCTGACGGACGCAGCTGTTTCTATGTGTTTGGACCTTTTGTCCACATGTAAACGGCTTTTCGAATCACCGAAAACGGACATTTTTTAAAACTCCTTTTTTGCGTTAACGTGTGGACCAGGAATACAGAGTTGGTCACTCAACGTGAAAGGTATGTGCCTTTTTTCACATCACGCTGTGCGCCACGTTATTGTTTACATGAGATGAATTGCAGAATGGCAGATATTCAGATTAACAGTATTTTGTCTCTAACTGCAGGTTTACACGCTTACATACACGCAGTTAATGTCCCTCTATTTAAAAAGGCAGAGGCGTCACGGTGCAATTATTTTACGTGTAGTTGTTTTTTTCCTGTGTAATAATATTCAACATTGCTATCGATACATTTTTCAAAAAATGCCTCTCTGTGAAAAATGTGTTTAAAAACATAAAGAATTGTGGGATACTGTTTGTCCGTGATTTGAACCGGGGGAACAAATTGTGGCAGGATCAGCCTGATATTATTTGTATCCCGCTGTAACCTTACGGCATAAAGAGCTAACATCTTGAAAATGTCAGGAGTAGTTAGTCAAGAACTAAAAAGTGTTTGTGAACAAAAAATCCAGAATGTGGGATACTGTTTGTCAGGATTTGGACAGCCCAGCGCGTGCTCCCGACACAGGGGAAAACCAATTCTGCCGGGGTGACCTACCTTGGCACTTGTGCAGGTGAAGCCAAAGGAAAGATATGCTTCACCCTATTTTCTAGTATTTGGTTTGGAAGGAAGTTGGTTTGGAAACATATTTGACGATGCTTTATCTTCTGCTTTGAGTTTGTGTGGGAGCCCCGTCAAAAACCTGTCCTTTATGGTAGCAGTGTCCAAGCGTTTTGTTTGTTTGTTTTTAATTCATTAATTGCTCTGCGCTCGCCTGGGGGGCGCGCCCCACACTTTGGGAACCTCTGGAAGAAGAGGATTATGACAAGAGCAGCCTTTCCTTGTCCATGCCTCCCAGCTGAGGCTTTCTCTGCATTCACCGCTAGATGTCCCCACGTGGTCGACATAATGTGGTGCCGACAACTCCAAAAGGCAGTGAACGGGTTAAAGCAATCCCTGGCAGGGAGTGGGCGGAGATTCCAGCTGGAAGCAAACCGAGAAAGCAACGCTCAAATCTGAAAGGAAAATCACAGTTGAGCGCAGTTTTTGTTCGTGTAATTTGGGACGGGATTTTTTCTTCTTTTAGCGATCTTTGAGTGGATTTGAAACGAGAGGTGCTATGAAGCTGAAGTGTGAGAGCAGTTGTCAGCTGAGGGTAGAGTAGACGTGGAAGGCTGCAGAGGCGTCAGACACTGAAGCCTGAGTTAAGAGAGCAGATCAACAGGACGGTGCAGAGCGCTGACTCTCACACTTGAAGACAATGGAACTGCTGTCCCTCACCTCACACGGATCATTCACTGTGATGAGCCCCAAACCCGCGTGTCTGTGGATGTGAAATGGTCTAAACACGCCACACTGTTTTGATTTGCACGGATCAGCTGGACTTATTCTGGTGAGCGCGCTGATGGGAGAGTAACACGGTGCCATCGGTTCCTGAAGAGATACGAAGCCGGTGTTTCCCTAAGCCTTTAAAAACACCCACAGGGACACCATGTGGAGCCTCGGGACGTGGATGTTGCAGGCGGCTCTGTGTTGCGTGCTTCTGCAAACAGTGCTGCCCAGTGCCAGAGGTAGGACGCAGGACTGTCTTCTTCTCAGCACAAATCACTGCCTGTTTTTGCAGCGGCCGTTGGGTTGTGTTTGGATCACACACGCGGAGCTGGAGCTCCTCGAAAAAACACTTCGAAGCCTCTGACAGTGATAAACGAAAGGACTACAGGCCCTAGGATAGATAAGGATTATTTTTAACTGTGAATCATGCAAAGCTCCTGTGGAAATAAGATTGGAGCAAGATAAGATTTTTTGTTATTTATTCCCCATTCAGTGCCAAGGAAATCAACCTTATGTCACGCTTACCTTTAAATGGCCACACAGTCAGTCAGACAAATGTTTGAAACTATTGATAAATTTAATTAAGAGCTCACAAAGGCCATGATCACTCCAACTGATGTTCAGCTGCTAAATCAGAGGCTCCATGATTTCATATGAACAAGCAGCATGTTAAGAATATTGGCTGAGATCTTCATATCAGTTTTTTTTTTTTTTTACATCCCCAAAAATCAATGTTTGCATCAGCCCCCAAATTCTGTACTCAGTTATTCTAATAAATATGGAAAAGATGGAACTGAGCATCACAGGTCCTGTTTAACCTTTGACCAAATATGGGCTGCATTATTATTCGTTTTTTTAACCTTAGGGTCTGTTTCCTTGGTCATTAATTTGAAATAGAAGTGCAACCGTGATAGGGATGAAAGTAGAAATCTAGCTTCTGCTCTGTTCCCGTCCCCCCTCAGGTCTCAACATGTGCATGAGTGGCAGTGCTACTTCCTGTGAAGAATGCCTCCTGATTCACCCCAGTTGCGCCTGGTGCGCACAAGAGGTATGGCTTAGTTGATCGATTATTTTCATCATGTACATTTACTTGTACAGGTCCAGTGAAGTGTGGGATGCATTCAGCACTTTTTTTTTTTGACCTTTTGGAAGCAGTATGAGTAATCAGGAATCTGAGATTTGTTGCTTTCTATATGCAGGATTTTGGAAGGGGGCGCAGTCTGACATCACGGTGTGACTTTAGTCAAAACCTGTTGAAGAGAGGCTGTGACGAACACTTCATTGAATACCCAACCAGCAGCATCAACGTCCTGCAGAACATACCCCTAAGTTCAAAAGGGTCTGGGTCAACCCAGTATGATGTGGTCCAGATTATGCCACAGAAGATCTCTCTCAGCCTGCGACCCGGTAAGAATCATAAACATTTCATATTTAGGATACGGGATAACCTTGGAACATTAAAAAAAAAGTAATAAAAGCATCTCTTATAAATAATGCAAAGCTCACTGATTTTTTTCATGCAGGAGACCAGACGTGGTTCAGCCTGCAGGTGCGGCAGGTGGAGGACTACCCGGTGGATCTCTACTACCTGATGGACCTCTCTCTTTCAATGAAAGATGATCTGGACACCATTCGCAACCTGGGCACTAAGCTAGCCCACGAGATGGGCAAGCTCACCAGCAATTTCAGGCTAGGCTTCGGCTCATTTGTGGACAAAAACATGTCCCCGTTCTCCTACATGGCACCAAAGTACCAGGAGAACCCATGCAATGGGTAAGTGGTGGCAAAAGGAATCGAGCTCTATAGCTGTAGGTGAAAGAGATTTACTCTGTGGCCACACTCTGTTTTTGCACCTTTCTGAATCCTGTACTCTGCATCTTTTTTCTTCATATTTAGAAGGCAGATGGAATAATGTAGTTCTTAAAAATGGCCCTAGTACTCCCACGGTCCCCTGGGGCTGGTGATGCAGGCAAACTGAAAGGGAGCAGAAGTGAAAGAGTAGAGAAAGCTGTGGTACACAATGTTTGCCCTGGAGGTGCGGCTAACTCTGTGCGCATCACTTCCCATTTAGGTTATGGCCTGGGCTGTGTGTGTGTGCCATGTTTAGATATTTTTGTGAGTGTGTGTTTGTGCATCAGTCACAAAACAATAAGGCACTTTAGGGAAAAACTAAAGCGATTCCTGCTAAAAGATCTCCCTTCTTTCATAGCTATCCCATTCACTACATTAGAAAGAGTCTACAAGTACTGTATATGAAGTGAATCATAAGATACGCCATATTTAACATTTAAGCTTCTCTTCAACACAAACAAACCGTCAGAGCCAGGATTTATGCCTTTAAAGACACTTATTGTGTTTTTTAATTTCCAAAAATGTAAATAAAATCTTAACATGCAGTGTGTCTGTCACCCTGCACAGGTACAAGCTGTTTCCCAACTGTGTCCCCAGCTTTGGTTTCCGCCACATCCTCTCGCTGACTGACAAAGTGGACCGTTTTAACGAGGAGGTGCAGAAGCAGATGGTATCTCGCAATAGAGACGCACCGGAGGGCGGCTTTGACGCCATCCTTCAGGCTGCTGTTTGTAAGGTGATGATCTTTCCCCTTCTGTTCATTTATGACTTCATACTTTTATTATTGGCCTAGCTTACACGTAAGCTTTCCTTTACATGCAGTTAAATGATTTGCTTGTATTCATTTGGCTTATGGTGTAAACTGTATGCAATAACCTGAAGGAAGAGAGGATTATTATTATTATTATTATTATTATTATTATTATTATTGAGCAGTATTAGGAGATTTATCCAGGACTTCATCATTTCTTTTGTACATGTGCTCAGAGGTTGTTTGTAGAATATGAAATAATTAATGAACCCCACATGTGTGAACTGTTTACGCTAAGATTGCATGTGTACTGTTTGTGAATGGGGCCCTTTTTTAGTAGCAAAATCCAACCGTGTCTTTGTTCTGTGTGAAGCTGATGTACCTGGAGAGAGCCCACACAGGCATGGGGAGAGCATGCCTGTGTGGGCTCTCTCCGTGCAGAGAAGTCTCTGAGCTTGGCTGGGAGTCAATCCTGATGTTAGTGATATTAGTGAACTCAGTTTCTGTTTTACTGTAGCTAGTCTTGCAATTGTTGACTTTGGCAGTGAAAGAAACACATGTAGGCTATGCACTTGTGAGTTAGCATAAACATCACATTGTTTGTATTCTGAGGGGAAGAAAAAGTTGTCCTTCACACATTAGTCCACAGGCGTTTAGATGCTACTGAGAGTCAGGGAGGTCAAATGTTGCGGAGTTGCACTACAACCAGCTCAGTGTTCAATACATAGAAAAAAGTTTCATAAAGTATGTTTGAGTAGTCTTCTATTGGACCCTTTGAAGATTTATTTGTTCACAGTTGGTAACAGGTCTGAGGGACCGCTCCTGTGAGAGCAGCTCCTGTGAGAGCAGCCCCTGTGACAGGCATCCTGCCTATGTGCTTGTTAATTAAAAACATCGGGGGTGGAGATGACAGGAAGTACAGTCTGGTGCAGCTGGTTAAACATGAGGATGAGTACCTTGCGGGCCCAGTCATATCCCCGTGTTCCTCTTCCAGTTTAATTACTTCTAAAGGAGGACCATGACTCCTTCCAGTTGGCTCCTCTGTTGTAATTTACTTAATTTGCACTGTTTTAGGCCACTACTGGTCATTTATCAGTCTCACTCACTGAGGCAGTTTTTTATTTAGGTTTTTATTTACAAGCAGCATAAATGCTTCCTCTTCTACAGTACATCCACAATAACAGGAAAGGCCACCCATCACACACCTAGATGTAGATATCAGTCTTATGACACAGCTGTGGTTCATCTTCAGAGAGGCCTCTGATAGGTGCATCCACGGTTCTATTGTGCACTGCACAGGGCAAAAAAATGCCGAGCCCTCTTTTCTCATTGGCTGAAAAGCTGTTTTCACGCATCAGTCAGCACTCTGTCAGCGTTCTCGGTGCCCCCGCCTGTTGTTTCCTGTTGATAAAAGCAGAGAAAAGTCTGGCTTGTTGTACAGTAGTGGACTTGAGCACATGAGCTGTGTATCATTGCTAAGCTTTACCAGTCTATCAAAGAGTCAGCATCATGTGATTCAGACGTGGGTCACTTGTTCTTCGTGACAATGGAGTTGGAAGATGCGGAGTGAAAACTGACATCCAGCTCAAAACTCCTCTGACGTTTTTCTAATTTCTCTGCACCAACACTTAAATAAGAATCACTGAAGCATAAAAAGGCATCTAACTCAAGGGATGTAGGCCCTTTTCAGCAGTTATTATTAAGTAGGAAAATAGCCACAAAAGCTAAAACCATGTGGTACCTCTCTGTAAAGATGCACATTTTAACGTGGGGGTCTGTGGGGATCATTGGACTCAGTCCCATTAGTGGAACGGCACTTTTCAACATTTCTGGGTTGGTTTCTTTTTCAGCCTTGGAAGCTGCTGCTTGGTTCTAATGATGTTGGCGATTTGGATGCTGGTATTTGTTTTTTGTAGCTAGAATTATCTCCATTAACTTACTCCTCCCATTTACAGGAAAAAATAGGCTGGAGGAAAGAGGCCCTTCACCTGCTGGTGTTCGCCACAGACGATGTACCTCACCTCGCTCTGGACGGCAGGCTCGGTGGTCTTGTCCATCCCCACGATGGACAGTGTCACCTCAATGACAACAACGAGTACAGCGCTTCCACAAAGATGGTAAGAAGACTGAAAATACAAAGTAGTATTCAGGGTTCAGGGATTTTCTGTATTGTGGTTCATATTGCTGGTGTTCAGTAAACGTCAGGTGCTTTTCACTGCAAAGCCCACCCGTGAACAGATGCTGGAATTTGCAGCATTTGGTCACTGAAAGGCAAAAAAAATATGACATGATGAACATCCTGCATACTTTCAAGGCTTTTAGGATAGTTTGCTTCCCTTTTCATGGCCTTCTGTCTCCACCCAGCTTTTAGCCACACTACATTACTAGATTTGAGTACTTCTTTTTTTTCTAACTAATTCAGTAAATAAGTAATTCACTAAGTTCTCAGGTAAGCAGGTAATCACAATAAAATGCTTATTAATGACAAGAGCCCGTGAATGGTCCAAATACACAAACACACCTGGAAGCTTTTACAGGAGCGTGCAGAGATGTGTGTTGTTGTTGTTGTTTTTGTTTGTTGGATTTTAAGCATCCTTGTTCAAATAACAGCTGATGAAGAGCAGTATTGGTATGAGATGCGTTATCCTTCTGACATCAGTGGATTCGTTTCTTATATTCGGTAAAACTGCACAAAGACAGGCTTTCAGACACAAGTTCATTAAGGATTTCTGTAGATGCCAGAAGACTAATGATGTAAACATGGATCAAAATCATGTGAAAGGCACTCGCTTCCATTTAAAGTGGAAATCATTTATTTGTAGCTCTGGTTTATTGACCCCTTAAGACTTTTTGATGCTGTTTCATGGTGAACTATACTCTGTACATATAGAGTTGCCTTGCACACTCCATATCCTCCTCTCTTATTCCAGGACTATCCTTCTCTGGCTCTTCTCGGGGAGAAACTGGCAGAAAACAACATCTTCCTCAACTTTGCTGTGACAAAAAGGCTGTACGTGATCTACAAGGTACTCTGAATGTTTGTCTATACAAGCTAAAGATCACACATTCTAACAGTATTTAAAATCTTAAACCATCAGTGGTGCCTCCTGTTTTTTTTTCCCCAAAGAATTTTACTGCACTCATCCCAGGGACCACAGTAGAAATCCTTGATCAGGATTCCAAGAATGTCATCCAGCTGATTATTGCAGCCTACAATGTGAGTAATGCAAATCTGTGCAGCTGAGCATCTGCTTTCCCGCTGGTGGGAGTGAGAAACCATAAACCATACCGTAAAAAAACCATAAGCAACGTAATTTGTGTGTTACTGATACGTACGTATACTTAAAGGTAGCCGTGTTACAGGCGCTGTTCGAGGGGAAAGAACCTTTTGCAGTATGTATTTTTGTATGTTACCATAACGTTTATGTTACCTTACGGATTAAATTAAACGTTAAAAATCCTCACGTGTAATGTTTCTGTGTAAATATCTCATATTAAAAGTGAAACGCATACGGCTTAAAATCCGGTGCGGCCTGTACAAGTACAAAATTGATTTTCTTTCTAAAATTAGAGCATGCGGCTTTTAATCAGGTGTGCTCTGTAGTCCGGGATTTATGGTACTTCCATGCTTTAAACGCTGCATGGTCGTACTCTCCCGCACTCCATCTTATCCATTGTTGATCTGCACACATCTGTTACCATGGACATCACACGCACTTGCGTCATTGTCATTAGACACTCTCACGAACAAAATCACGGTTTAGTAACGCAGTGTGTTTCGGAAAAGTAACAGTAATCCAATTACTTTTTTGCAATAGTAATCCCTTACTTTACTCGTTACTTGAAAAAAGTAGTTGGATGATCCTTTGCTGCCCATCTCTGCTTATATGTTTAATACTTTCCTCTAGTCTTTGAATTATTTTTTGTGAATTAGGTGACAGTTCAGTCTCCCCTGTCCTCTAATGAAAGTTAGTCAGCCTTAGATCTACATCAAGTGTCGAGTAAGCAGCGACCTCTGAGGCAGACCAGTGAAACCAACCTAAATTGCAGAAAGTTGTAGTTCCTTTAGCAGCCACTCGAGGCAGGCTCAAAAACCAAGACAGTTTCCATAGACTCCCATTTTAAATTGGCCCAGTTTACAACATTAAAAGCCATGCTAACAGTGTGGTACAAAAAATCATTTTGTTCTCTTCAGTCGCAGGTAGAGTTATCTTAATGCAGGCTTCTCAGAATTGTTCTAACTCATGGGCCAAATTAGATCTGACCAGTAAAAAGAAAACCACAAAAACAAGATTCATATAACATCATTCTATTACTTAGTTTAAACTTGGTTTGCCTGACGTACGAATCTGGATAAAAACTGCTTTGTGGAGTTGTGATGGCAGCGAGGGCTACACTGATACAGAAGTGCACATCGTGCTTCCTCCGTGGCCTTTTTATTTAAAGCCAATCATGTCTCCCTGTGCCTCGCTGCTAAACTGGAGCCACAGCCATCTGATTGCTTCTTATTAAACAAACAGCTTTCTGAAACCAGGAAACTGCAGCTCATGCTGGGAAGCTTTCCCTAAATATTTTTATGTGTGGGCGAGACAGATTTTTCTTTTCTCTTGGCTGAGTCGGTGCATTCTGAGTGGCAGAAAGTTGTGTCAAATGCACACTTGACATGCTCAGTGTGTAGAAGCAATGCTGAATGAAGCGCTTTTAACTCGGGGCCTGTTAATATTCCAGCTGCCACGTTATATCCACCTCTGAGGTTTGATCGATGGACGGGCTTTTCCAAGCGCCGTAAGGTTCCTCCTCAGGTCTGACTGAGGGACAAAGCTGCTTCATGCTGTGATTGTGTTAAGGGTGATGAAAGTGCAAGTGTGCGGGAAAGAGAGAAAGCGAAGGGTCGAATGAAGTCATGCTTATCCATGTGCATCAAAGAACTCTCCTGATTTGTTCCTGGCACTTTTGCATTGCAGCGCTGAATGAACAACTGCAAACTGAGCGTGCACATGTTCCGCAGAGGCAGCTGTGCAGCTGTGGTATTTCTTGTCCCCACACAAGCCACCTGCATCCACGCACAGCACTTGAGGTTGTGGTGAGATTGGCTATAAAACAGTGTCTAACCAGAGAAATGCTTTCCTCCTGTTTCACTCGGTTTTCCACTTAGATGCTCAAATATTGTTAAAAGTGCAAAAAGTCCTGCTGTTGATGGCTTATTTTACTTGACCTTAAAAGTTTCTGTTTTAAACCCTGGGTTTATTACCACATATGACTGAACTCTCCTGGCTGTGTTCTCCTTAGAACATCCGTTCGAAAGTAGAACTGTCAGTGTGGGACCACCCAGAGGACCTCAGCCTTTCCTTCACTGCCACCTGTCAGGATGGAAACCCACTGCCAGGCCTCAGGAAGTGTGCTGACCTGAAGATAGGAGACACTGTGAGTTCTTCTCCACGCTTACCTCATGTTATAAATGTTTCATGTGTCCTGCTGGCCCAGAAAACGTCTGAGTGCTCGCTCACACGCTTTTATTCTCTTGGATTATGAAATTCAATCTGTGGTTTTAAGAGTTTAAAGAGAGAAGCGATTGCTTTTTCTCCATTGGATGCCTGTTTTTGAAGATTTCCCAATGTGTAGATGTTACTTGGGCAGAGCTGCACAGTTACAACAATAACGCAAATCATTCAGACATTTCAAGTCTTTTTATTTTTTTCCATCTATGGGAACCAAAAAAACTGCAAAGCCCTTAGTCTTATTTTGAAGGTGAAGTTGCAGATAAGTGTTTCACCACTTGCTTGCTGTTGTGTCGGCCCTTCACAATTCAGCCAGGTCTTTAGATCAGTGTACATACTGAGTGGTGCTCTGAATATAGCGGATTGTCAAACAAATGAAGGTTTTGATTTAGATCTCTGAGCTGCTTTTGCTCTATCTGAATTTGTTTTTTGTTTGTTTGTTTGTTTGTTTGTTTGGTTTTTAAAGCATCTCTGCTGCTGTTGGGCGTAAACATCTAGAAGTTGCGGTCACATGATTGGGTGTACATATCATGGCACACCTAATCTATATCTTTCAGTCTAGGCACAGGCACAAACTCACGACTCACATCCTGTTTTCATTTTTGTTTTATTCTGGAAGTTCAGTCGGGAAGTGCCGATTACTATCTCAGCTGGGAAAGTGATGTTTACAGCACCAAAATTACTTGAAAGCAAATGACAAAAGTAGGGAGGAGGAGAGTTTAAACAGCGATGTTATTGACATTGATTGTGCATATCATATGGCAAATGAACTTTAACCTCCTAGGACCTGGCGTCAGCATATGTGGACATCACATTTTGGGTTGTGTAGACTACAATACAAAATTTTGCTCTACAAGGGCCTGATTTCTCTTACGAGGACATTATACTGCCACTGTTCTATTGAAATTTTAAACAAATGTCCTCATATGTAGATATCAGACCCTTGTAGAGCAAAATCAGGTAAAAAGATAATTTTTACATTCATCTGGTCCCAGTCAGACCAAATAGCAAAGAGAAATTAAAAATGCATGCCATGAAAGAGTTCGGGTCTTGGGAGGTTAATATCGTCCACATGAAAAAACTGCAAGAATGTCCATATTTGTGCACAAACGTGATTCCTAATCTGTGGAGCTTGTAGCAAAAGGCAGGATAGATGGAAACAGTGTTTGAGAATGTAAGACATTGCACAAAAAATAATGATTTTGTGCAATGTCTTTAAAGTTGCTGGTGTCAGAGTATTATAGAGAGAGACACATCAGTCAGTCCTGAACTGAAATCAATGGGAGAGTTCAGCAACGGCAAAGATGGAGGTTCAAGAGGGGAAAAAGCTTGCAAAACATATTTTAGGGTCAAAGTTACTAAACTTTATATTTCTTATTTTTTTTGATTTGTTCAGTTTTGACTGGTATTTATCTGCATGGACAGGTAAATGGACTGATTCTTATACAGCACGCCACATTCACACAAGCACTATCTTCTATGCTTTTCTTTTTTTAAAGTGCTTTCTAACTAACCCATTCACACACTCTCATACTCCAATGGATGCAAGGATATTTGGCATGCAGACTAGGTGGAGCCAGGGATTGAACCACCAGCCTTCCGATCAGTAGATGACCTGCTCTTGCTCCTGAGCTACAGCATGTAGTTAACTGTCCCGAGCCACTTAAAATGACTGAGTACTGTTATTTTTGTTGAAAGTAGGTCATAGCCCAATTTAAGATTTTCCAAAATAAAATCGACAAACCGCAAACAACTACATAAAAATGCCATCTACGAAAGTATACTTCTTTTCAGCACACTTTAGCTTAATGTGACACAGTTCACAAAGTTAAACACAACCTAAAAAACGTCCCTGACTGCTTCTGCCAGGGATCGAATTATGTGCAGCAACATGTAGCTCTGATGGAATGGAAAACATTCATTTTGGTTCATGTATTGGAAAAGGTCACTGCTGGCAAATTTGTTTGTTTGTTGAAGTATATCATTTCCAGTGTGTGGTATAGTATCTAGGAGGCTGTCTAGGATCGTGTGCATGTTTTGGTTCTTAATGGTTTTTGGTACTCAGCCTGAAACAAAATAGTGGATGTTATGTTAAGGTTTGAAGTGCCAGTATTGGATTTTTATGTTTTTTGTTAATTAAAAAATCTAATTCTTTTCAAAATAGAGGACCCAGTCACCCTAAAATCATCATATTTAATACTTGATGGGTCATACTTGCACTGAGTTCCTGCCTGAATGCGTTCAGCCAGAGGCAGCATCTGCACACTCTTTGCATCCTACCTGGTAGTTCCTTCTCAGGTTCCACTGCAGACGTCTTAACACCTACGGCCTCTGCCTTTAGTTTAAACTTCAGCAGGTGCACTGCAGTTCAGTTAGTGATATCAGGTGATTGTTGACGGTTACTTGCTGAAATAATAATAAATCTGAGTACACAGCAATGCCAAGTTATGGCAAACGTATTCTATTCTGGCGAAAGTGATATTAATAATTTCTGTCAACACCTAAGCAAACAAGAAAACGCACAGTGGGACCTTCTTGGGGTGACTTCCTGTGAGTTGGAATTGAGACTGGATTCAGTTCACAGTGGATATAGCTGTGGGAAACACATTATGGTTCATCCCCGTCTCTATCCTGTGTTCAGATCAACAGTAGTACTGAAACAAAAACCCAGCTCACCAGTCTCTTACTCAAACTGGACTTTCTGGATTTTCTTCCTACTTGCTAGTAGTACCTGCTGCAGCATGCCCTGTAGCAGGTACTAGACTGAAAAGTTTGTTAAGATTGAGAAGTTTTATTTTCAGTCTTAACTCATCTTAAAGTTAAGACTTTCAGCAATTTTAAGATTATTTAATATAAAAAGAAGATATTATATTGATAAATATACAAAGAATAGAGTGTAATTAAATCTTCCAACAAACTCATGCATACTCATAAATCAATACCTTTGAGCACTGGTTTGTGGAAACTGCAAACAGTTTCCCTATATATTTATATTATTATATATATTTAAATACAGTGGCAGGGAAGGTTTTTATATAGAGCTTTTATACTCGAGCGCTCAGTGCCCTCAAACATGCTCATATATTCCCAACAATGTCATGATTACCTGCAGATTAAACATGCAACTGTTGGTTTCTGGACAGCTGACAAGAACCAGCTAAACAACAATAACAGCTGGTTATAAGTTTACATTAAGCTTGCTAATGTTAGGCTCAAGGGTCCTAAAAATCATACTTTCCCTTAGTTAAACAGTTTGATTACGTTCTCATGTCGCACAGGAGTTTATTCACCAAGTATCAGAGTACAATGTTAGATCCACTTCAAGCTGCTACCCTTCATCTCCTTTCACTGCAAAGGACAAAAGACATGAGCAGGCCCGGCTTGAAATTCCAGTAATTTATTGCTATATTTTGCATTTTTTAGCTGGTGTATGTTTAACCTTTATAGTCTATGAGAGGTTGTCTCTTATGTTAAGCACTTTGGTATACCGCTGGCTTTTAAATGTGCTCTATAAATAAAGGTGGTTGTTGTTGTTGTTGTTGTTGAGCAGTCCTACTGGGTTAGCTGAAACTTAGCTATCTGGTTATGCCAACCTCAATACTTCATTGTGTTAGTCCACGAACCAGTTTGTGACATTATAGTATTTACATCCATCTTTTATTCTGAGTTAACCAAGGTGAGTGTTTTTTGTATGTTTGGTGACAACATACAGAGTAATTTTAATGGACTTACACTTTAACATTTTGTGTTACTTATGTGTTTTTCACAGCCTTGCCTTTAGCAGTTGGGGGTCTTTTCAGGTGACAGGTGGTTACAGTACATCTTAATTGTTTTGTGTTTTGCACTGGGCTCTTCGTGGCAGTCACTTTGTATTCTGTACAGGCCTCAATTGAGATCTGAATCTTTTGAAAATGTTAGCGAGGGGTAGTTTGATACATGCGTCACACAGCGAGACTTCAGCAGGGTAGAATGCTTCTCTGAAAACCCCCTGTGCTCTTCTCTTGGCCACTTTATTTTCCTGGGAAGGTTTTGGGAT